AGGGCATCCTACACCAAGCGGCAGCCGCTCTGGAAGACCGTGCGCCGCGAGCTGGCTTGGGTGAAGTCCTTGCTGCCGTGCCTGCGCGCTGACACTACGCTGCCTTGGAGCGACATGGTCACCTGCTTTGACGCGTCGCCCTGGGGCTACGGCATCGTCGAGACCGAGTGGGACCTCGATAGTGCACAGCGAGTTGGGCGAGTCTCGGAGCGCGCGCGCTTCCGAGGGCTGCTGGCGGCCGAGGGGGCCCCCCGCGAGCGCGCGCTGGAGCAGGAGATCGCGCGGGCCCCTGAGCCCGCCCTGCTGCTTGCTGGCCGCGCTGCAGGCTTCCCGGGGGTCGACTACGAGAAGATGCAGGCGCAGCCTTGGCGCGCGGTGGGCTGCGGCCGCTGGAAGCGCAAGGAGGCCATTCATAGCCTGGAGGGGGCCACCCTGACCTGGGCAGTGCGGCGAGCGGCAAGGGACGCTCGACAGCACGGGTCGCGACGATTGTTTCTCGGAGATAACATGTCCCTCACCCTTGCTGCTGCCAAAGGTCGTGCTACCAACCATCGTCTGTTGGGTGTCTGCGTGTCATCTTTGCCATCGGCGTCGCAGCAGATATGAAGGTGCAGGTCAGGTGGCCCCCCTCAGAGTGGAATCCCAGCGACAAGCCCTCGCGCCGTTTCCAGCCTCAAGGTCGGCGTGACCGAGGGGCCGATGGAGGCGGCTGCGCTGCGGGCGAGGCCGCCGACGCCGCTGGCCACTGCGAGCTCCCCCTCAGGCCGTCGCGCGCCCAGCTGGCGCAGGAGCCGTTCGCCTCGCCGAGCGCCCCCTGCGAAGGGTTGGTCGCCGGCGGAGGCGCTGGGGGCTCCCGCGCGCGCCGCGGTGCCGGCTCTGGCTGGGCCCGCGAGCAGGCCAGACTTGGCCGGGCGGCGCGCAAGGCTTGGCCGCGTTCGCTTGGCGAGCGACTTCGACCAGAGGAGGCGCCAGCTCTGCCCCCGCCAGACCCGCCTCGCGGCCGCGAAGGTACGCCCTCATACACAGGAGCTGTACCTGGGGACGGTCCTTGGGCTGGCGCGCTGGCTTGGCTTGGAGTGCCTCCCGGACTGGCCGCGGCAGACCTGGGACGAGGTGCTGGCGGAGTACGCGGAGGCGATCTACGACCGCGGCGGCTCGAAGGCGGCTACCCAGAGGTTGGCGCCGGCGCTGCTGTGGGCGGAGCCTGCGCTGCACAGGGCAGGCATTCGGGAAGTCTTCCCCTTGACGCATCAAACGCTCAGAGGGTGGAACGTCCTGGAGCCCTCCCAATCGCGGCCGCCTGTTGCGTTCGTGGCGGTGCTGGCGGTGGCTTGCTGGCTGTGCCGAGCTGGGAAGCCTCTCAGTGGCTTGGCCGCCCTGATAATGTTCGAGACGTACATGCGGCCATCGGAGGTGCTGGCCCTGCGAGCCCGCCAGGCTGTTCTGCCATTGCCGAAGGAAGGAGGCGCCTCAGTGTTTCTGACGTTTGTGGTCCGAGCTTCAGAGTATCAGATCCCGACCAAGACGAACGAGTACGACCTCTCGGTGCCGCTGGACTTGCAGCGGCCAAAAATGGCTGGTAGAGTCGATTTCCTTCGTCCAAGCGTTGCGGGAGCCAGACGAGCTGTTCCTTGGCCTCAGCTACACCGAGCTGGCCGCAGACTTCAGCAGTGCGATCTCAGCTCTGGGTGTGACCGTACTCAAGCCCACCCTCTACTCCCTCCGGCATGGAGGGGCCAGCCACGACAGGAGCACGGGCGCCAGAAGCTTGGGCGCCGTGCAGCAGCGCGGAGGATGGAAGGCGTTCAAGTCAGTGCTCAGGTACGAGAAGCGCGGACGCCCGTCGATGGAGCTTCGCAAGTTGTCCGACCATCCCCGCGATGCGCTGCGAGCCGCAGGACTGGATCACATCGGCGTCTTCAACAGGTCCTTGGCGCGGCACTTCGCAGCGCGCCGCATCAGTCCCGAGTTTGCGTGGAGGTCTTCTCGGGCTGTGGTGAGTTGAGTAAACACTTGCGTCATAGAGGGGAGGCGGTGGTGGAAGGGGATGTGCGAAACGGAGATCAGTTTGATTTAACTTGCCCTGCTGTCTGGAGGACCCTCAGAGGCTGGATCTCTTCGGGCCTTGTCAAACTCGTGTTTTGGGGGACGCCCTGTAGCGGGTACTCCAGGGCTCGCAGGGCTCCGCTGTCTAGTAAGATGCCTTCGGCTCT